TTCGAGCCTTTTACCGCGTTGTTCGGCATATTTTAAAACATAAAGGCAAAAATGTTTTGCTAAATTTTTTAACAACGCTAATAGAATCAATTTTGTGTTTATCAAGCGTTAATTAACCTCCCTATGGCTCAAAATGTAAATTTACAAACGTTTGTGTACTCGTTACGTTTCATAATTTTATAGGCGAGACTATGCGTTGTATCGAATTAATTCCTTTTCACGTATGAATTTATATTATAATTACATAAAGATACTTTCGTATTAAGTTATCATCTACGTATATTCATATACCCAATCGTGTTAAAATTTGTGCTTAATTAACGCAAGTATAAAAAAAAAACAGAAAAAATTAACAGACGTTTCATTATTTATAACCAATGAGAGAATAATGAATTATTAGGATTATTAGATTATCAGGAAAATTTTTACATTGCAATTCTATTGCATATTACAGGAAATATATAATGCATTATTATCTCATTATATACATTTCATCACAAGTTACGAAAAATTTATTTTATCATTATCGAAATTTACGTTTCATTTATGTTCGCGGTACTCAGAATAATTTTCTTCAATTGTGATGCTTCTTTCTCTTTCAAACGGGAAAGTAACGTTCCCGCCTTGCAACACCAACCTTAAAACTTCGATATTGCATTTTGCGAGCAATATGCTTCTTTGTCGTCAATTCTTTAAGAACCGGAGGGATTCATAAATTTTGTTCCCCGCCGCCAAGACTAGCGTCGCATCGTAAAGTAAAGTAAAGGCTATATTATATTTATATTCCAAAAACTCATTTTGCATTTTCAAAGCGCTGAAGTCTTCTTGTCTTCCATAGATAACATGAGATAATTTTATAACTCATTTGCTATACACATTATTATATACATTGTCTTTTATAATCACTATAAATGTTTATAAATATACAAGTTTTTAAATTAGTTTGTTAAAAATCTTAAAATTTTATTTTATTTTTTATTTGATATCTAATCTTATCCAATTTTTTAATTATTTAAATAATTTATTTAATTAATATGTACAGTTTGTATAAATTTCATTGCCATTATAAGTATAGCAATTAATTGACTGTTAATTGTATGTTATAAAATGTTATACATATATGAAATAAAATATAAATCTTTCTTATTCTGCTATTTTACTCTGAAATGTTATGTGTCTAGTACAATTAAAAATTCATTTTTATCTCTTTTGATGTTCATGCACGTAAAGAAGATGCCATGAGATCGTCTAGCTCGTGTCTACTGATCCACTAGACACGAGCACGCAACACACTGAACTTGATTAGAAGTGTGGAGAACAGACAGGCACGCGATCATTCTGAAACTAGTTAGATGTCCGTTTATAATTACAGGTTGTAACGAGATAGACGTCGAATCGTCTATTCTTCTACTTTTGCACGTTTCTCGATAATCACCGGAAAGATCGTTGAATCGGAAAGTCGCTGGTTTAAAAACTTTAAAGGAAGAATAAGGAATGCAGGATATTTGCATTTGATCGGAAAGAAAAGAGCTCTCGAATACGTAACTCGAAGATACACAAAAGTCACTTCATAAAAGACTCGCGACATTCATTCTTCCGAATGTTTCATATAAGCCGCTTGCCACCCGTTGATTTGTACGACGCTAAACGGCTTGGACACGTGCCACGTGAAAAATGCATCAAGAATCAAGTCACGCGAGTAGTGACGGCGCTATTCCGCATTGAATATTTTCCTCCGGCGTGCTGGATCGGCCACGTGCTGAGATGAGATCCGGAAATCCGGAAGCGTACGTTGGCGCAGGCGAGTGTGAAAAGTTACAAACGTTATCCACCGTCGCGTGTTGCTTCGAGACTTCATTCATGGGGTAAAGAGACTTATTTGATAAAAGTTGGAAAACAAGACGGATAACCGTAGTCAATTTTTTCCTTCCGTGCTTCACCTCTTCATCGAATCCCAAAGTGTGTCCCTCGTGCAGGTTGCTTGAAATTATATGAGTTCGGAATTCGCATAAATTGCATTTAATTATAAATCTAGTCTCTCTCTCTCTCTTGTAACTTTTGGAAACAAGTCGATTTCTCTCTCTTTCGAACGTATTCACTTCGTAAATGCTATATATATAAAATTTCTGTAATATTGATCTCGATATCTTCAACATAGCTAAATTGTAAATTGTTACTAACTGCGACAGAAACAATGCCAAATATTACTATGTTTAATAATTTGATTATACAATTTGCGTATATAAACGCAAGTTAAAAAATAAAGTTGAAACTCTGCGGGCTGAGGGACTCTACATATTTCGTCGCAGATTAAACTTCGAACATGTATTTCCATATGAAAAACAGAGATATTTTATAATCTGGCTAAACGTCGAGTGATAAAACTTTCATCGCGAACGAATGTCATCGTGTTTACATTGACGGAATTTTCAGCAGCGCTCTCCGCGCGGCGTCCACTCGAAGGACTTCCGAGTGCCGTCACAGCTCCGCTTCCAAACGAGAGTCTGCTCTCGAAAGGGAACGTGAAAAGTTACGGAGGGTATCTTAGGGATGAAGAATCTCGTTCGCGTGGATGTTGAAGGGCCGCGCACGGATGAATAGAGTTTCTGGTCCTGGAGGTCCTACGACGAGATCGATGGAGCCGCGTCCAATCTGTCGGTGCGCCCGAGCTACTTCCCACATGCATTCCCGCACGTTTCTCGTGACGTATCCCCATACTCGTGGCAGGGGGTTGACCATAAGTTCCGCCGGCTTCAATCTCCCCGATGAGAGACGGAGCGCGACCGTTCTACCGTATACGCGCGGCACGATAAGTAACGAAACGTCGTTCCGGAAATGGATCTCTCTCTCTCTCTCTCTCTCTCTCTCTCTCTCTCTCTCTCTCCTCGGAACGACGTTGAGCGCAATTCAGTCTCGTACCTGGTTTTTGGTGACGTCTGAAATGTCGTTAAATCTTGGTCGAGGCGGGACGAACGTTGGAATTCAACATCCCGGCGGCGTTATTTTTTACAGTCGCTCGTCCTTTAATCGCGGCGTGAAAGCGGCCGTGCGTCTGTGCGGAACAGTACACCGCTTTGTTACGAGCTAGTCGAAGCTGAACATGGGCAAAGGCCGAGTCATATCTTTCTTTCATAAAACGCAAATACCGCCGCGCGCTTGATATTTCTCCCGAGAGAAACACTCGACTCGATCGTTTGGTCGCAACGCCTTCTTTTAACTCTTAGAATTCTCAATAGATCTCATAAAATCAAATTGCGCGTTATTTATTTGTATCTCACTATTTGATATGTTTATAATTGAATATCCTCATTTTTTTTTAATCAAAATTAATCGATACTGTTTTGGTAAAATTTATCCTGAAGAGAATTTTCTCTTAAAATTTTCTCCAAAAATTATGGTCATTGGAACAATATAATTTTTTAAAGAATTTTATAATATTAGAAATTTTATTAAAATAGTAAAATTTCAAGAATTTTATAATATTAATTATATTATTTAATATAATAATTTTATTATATTAAATAATTCATGACAAGCAGATTATTAAGCAATTTTTATTATGTAGTTTATAAAATACATTTCATACATTTCAAAAATTTCTATTGTTACCACAATATATATATATATATATATATATACAAATAGATATCAAATTGTCACAAGCTTCTCAACCAAAAATAGTAAAATTTGTAATGAATTTTGTGGATAATTATAATGAAAAATAAGTAGTTATATATCACATGCAATATTACTTATTATAATTTAAGTAACTTCAAATATTTGGAAACGATGTTTATCCAGAGTTTTCATAAAAATTTGCAAATAGGCATAATGATCGAGATACCCCTTTGTTTTTCAATGAAAATCTTACATATGTATTCTAGGTCGCGCTTCCAGTTGGAAATCGAGTAAGCTTCGAGCGGGAGAAAATACCTCGCTTAAACGAGACAGGCGATACAAAGTACGGAAGAGATGATGTCGTCAACGTCGGCTGTACGTGCGGAATTCTAATTTGCCGTGCACGCCGATTTACAAAATTTCTCGCGCGATTTTGCATCAGTTATCCTTCTGTTTCGTACGTTGCAATATATATACATTATCAAATCACGCGTCCGATACTTTTCCCGATTTTACGGATAAGTTATTGCGTGTGAAAATTATTCGAAATCAAATCAATATTATGTAAAAAGGCATATTTGCAAGTCGCGAGACATATGACACAATCTGCACAATAAACTTGCAGAAAAACTGTGACTTAAAAGAACTTTTATATCTCAGGTTTTATTTCCAAAGTGCTACTTTAACTACGTGCTCTTTAAAGTAATCTTTATTCGAAAAATGATACTTACCTGAAAAACCGCGTTGTCATCCAGGTTTCGAAAATCAATTACCGTGAGGCATATAATGAGACAAGGCGAATTTTTGTAAAATGCATATTATATATTACATGATTTCGTCTTTCTCACGAAAAAACGTTAGGTTCGGCTTAAATTTATATATTATAGCGCATAATTTCTCTTTTCTCTCTCACACACTCTCTCTCTCTCTCTCTCTCTCTCTCTCTCTCTCTCTCTCTCTCTCTCTTTCATAGCATGGAGATTTGGTTGGCTGCATGAAAGACAAGCGTACCTTCATCACTATACAATATACATTCAGATAATGTGTCTTAATAAGCCGTATTTTAAATTTTACAATGTGAGATGATACAGCACAAGACCCGGAATTAAATATTATGAAATTATACAGAATTGCATTTGCTTCCGCGTACGCTGCGAATTAAATACAGTATCTGAATGTATCTGACGAATTCATACAAACGTACAATATATTAACACCCTGTCACAAAGAACGGGCACCGATATTAGCGAGCAATTGATCTGTTTGCTCCTTAATTATTCTCCTCTTAGAACTTTTCATTAAAAATGATGGCAGATTAATTTAATTTACAGTGCGTATAATATTTCATATCATATAATAATAATAATAATAATAATAATAATAATAATAATTAACAATAATAATTTATTATAATAATTTAAATAATCTCAGAATATTCAACAAACCTTCTTATCGATAGGCGATTCTCCGATGGTCCGATAACCGATGTTTCGATATCTTCAATGGGAAATTTGCTGCCTTTTAATTATCACTAATAAAAGAATATTATTGGATAAAACGATGGAAGCTCGTGATCCTGTTAATTGAAAAATTTACGAGTTCCGTGTTAATCCTCACACTCGTTCTGCGTTAAAAAAAAAAATGCTCCAGTGGATACAGAGAATTTTGTAATATAATGGTGCGAATAGTGATGGATGGAGGCCGAATCGAACAGCGCAATTTGTCTCGATTATCACAGCCATAGTGATACGCGATAGCAGCCACTCCAGCTCGGTTTGTGCCCCGAGCCTTTATTGTTTACCGGTTATTGGTTATTCGATACGCAGATTTATGATTTTACCGTAGCTTTGGTCATCTCTAGTTGCGAGAGCGAATGGGCTAGAAACAACTTGGTGAGATGCTAATATCGAGTATAATCAAACGCGCGTCGAATACAGCACGATCGATGTTAACAGCGTCGTCGTATCGTTTCACAATGACCCGAATAATTTGCCTCGCATCTGATAAGTAGCGTGTCATACTTGCGGTAATTTAATCAGTATGCGCGCGTCTTGTTGCACAGAAGCGTTCAACGTTTGAACATTTCGCAGGAGCGAAATTCGTAAACGAGCCGAGATAAGGAAGATAGGGATAGGCACATTCATGAACGACCCGTCACCGATAAATAGTCACTAAATCCGTACTACTTTCATAAATAAGTATATGATATAGCTTGTAGTTCTGAGATTCGAATTAATTGGATATGGAAGAAACGTTGACGAGCGATCAATTCACTGGGGTGTCTATCCCGCGTGAAAAATTTAAATCCCGAGGTACAATCGCTCGAATAAAGTCGCGTTGAAAATTGACGAAGGTATTATTTCGCGATACAGACACGCCCCAAATCTCGCGAAGGTCGAGCGATCTATATCGCGTTTTAGAATAACGTTTCCAAGACAACCGCAGCCAACCGCCTCTGTTTCACCTATGTCCCTTATGTCAACGCAATATGTTAACGTAACACACTCCTCCCCTCTTTGGCCCTCGTGTCCACTCTCATCACGATGATAGAAAAGTTCGTATGACGCACAAGTGACAACGTCTCGTTCACCTCCGTTGTGGAGCACTGTCTCTTTGTCATCGTCACGAAATGCTCTCTCGCTAACCCGGGCTCTCGTGGCACCCGGAGGAAGTTGGTCGAGCCTTCATCTGAGCACCTGACCCGATCGGGCTAGAATGACGGCCAGGAAGAAAAGCGACGAGCTAGCGGCATCCGCTCGAGCGAGCTGTGCACCGCTATGATGTAACTCGGCTAAACTTTCTCCTGAAACAGCGTCAAATACACTCACAAGGAAACGCTCGCAGGGTCTTTTCCTAATCACCGATAACCTCTGGCTATTTTGTAAAATAATAGTAAATTCAAAAAAGATATCGATATTTCGACAAAGTGCACATATTTAAGAAATATTTTATTAAATATGAAAGTATTTAGAAAATAAAGCTTTTCAACTATTATAAAATCCGAGTCTTATTAAAAGTGAGGCAAGCTGCGAATGTTTCCTTGTCAAATGGCATCGATCATGTTTAGATGTAGGTATTAGCTTAATACGAAAGCCTGAGTGACATGATACAGGTATCAGGAAACATCTTGTATAATTTGGTTCCAACTGAGACGCGTTTCGAGCCTGTTAAGCCACGCGGAGGATAATCAAAGTGACGTTTGTGCGAATCATCTCGCAACACGAGGTTCCTAAGGGATTGTATATTCTGTAGCATTCGATCCCAGGTGAAAATACAGACGCGATCGTATATGCCGAAACGTGTTTGAATTTATGAACGAATTATTTTTGCATGCCGCGCGAAGTGAGTCTCTTCGTCATCGACGAAGGTCATGTCGCATCGTGAATTTCTCTGTTATCTTCACAAAACAGAGAGTTGTCCTGGCTATGATGTATATTTCTGTATTTTCAACATTCTGTTAGAAAACAAAATATATATTAAACCATTTTACTCAAGAAACAAAATAACTGTTCTATATGTATTTTTGAGACTTTAATTTGATAACGAAAACGCGAAATATCTCAAATTGCAAGTGGCATTTACTTAAAAAACTAGTAAGGAAAAAGATAAGCAAAATATATGATCAAAGATGATGGAAAACATATGATTAAAGATACAAAATTTTCTTTAAGATACAAGAATTTCCTTACGGAGTTGGATAGAGATTAATTCGGAAACAACGATACATAAGTCACGTAACATCAAAGCAATGGTACGAAATTTGTCTTGCATAGTTGGAGAATTTGACTTGCGTACTTAGTTTCGTCGCGAGTTCTCACACGAAAGCATTTTAAGAAGATCCTTTATAACGAGTTCCGACATGCGAACTTCCTACGAGTCAACATCAGAGGACTTTTAGGCGCATCTGCGAGTGTAGTTCAAGATAAATATTAAATGCTTCAAAAGCACCTACTTTGATAATAAATAGACGAGAGCTGTTACTGTACAGAGAAAGTTATATACAAACGTTTCGGCTGTAGCTTTTGTAATGAAATACCGAATACCGCGCATCGCTGAATGTTGTGAATTCGTCAATTACTTAAGACTTGAAGCACGATTTTCCGCTAACAATCCGTTTCGTATCACGTTAAGCGAATCGTTTGAGACAGAAGTTTCTACAGTCTGTTCTAAATCAGGTAGAATTTTAGGAACTAATTTTTCAAATAAATTTCAATTCCAAATCCAACGAAACATGTATATGTATGCAAATAAAATATAATAGAACTCTTATGTTATTTATGTTAAGTTCGATTAATTTAAACGTTCGATTAATATCGTCAAAGACATGAAAATAAACGTTCCACGTATGTTTTGGTATAAACAAGTACGTTTTGTTACATACGCGAGATGGATTCTTAATTCCGGTAGTCTAAATTCTGCAAACAAGTTTGCGAAATTAAAAATTAACTTGATACTTAAAAAAATTTACACTCTTAGTTATTTTAAAGCATATGCTATTTTGAAAATAAGCTTTAAATAGTATAAAGCATAGCACAGAAGTTTCACTAAAATAACTAAAAGATAATGTAAATTGACAGAACTCAACAGAACGCAGAAAATAGAATGAATGAAAAGGAAGACTGTTAAATTAAAAAATACAGTTATAATTTTTGTTTCGTTGCATTCACAGAATATTGTGCAATAAATAAATTTTCCATACTTCAAAACTGTCTTTGAAAATCAATTCTTCAAAAATTTTGTTCTCCGATCATTTAAGCATAGAGATTCTATTGTAGAAGTTTTGATATAACGTAGGTAAACTAACTAGATGACAGCATCGTTAATTCCGCATGATACGACGATAAAAGGTGTTTCGTAAAAGCAATTGAGAATCATCAGAAATACAAAAATATTCTCACCGTTTAAAACGTGCACGTGAACCGTGGCGGGTTGGTCCGGCATGGTGGTAAGCTGGCAGGTGTAATTTCCGCTATCCGTAGGTCCGACTTTAGCTATGCTGAGAGTCGAATTGGCCCCCTCTTCCATCAGGTCCGTTTTCACGCTACAACAGGTACATACACGACGATGAAATTTCAATGCCCCGAAAGTTCGCCGACGAGAATTCCACATGTACACTATGTATTTCGTACGCCGCGTTTGACGCTTGAAAGTAATATGAATATATACGTATGTGTTTGCATTTTCTCCGTGTTACGTGGCATTGCGATATTGAAATCTGTATATTCTATGGGAGAGATTTTTAATTTTCAAGTCGATATATCTAAAACACAATCGCGGAAGCCACGATCGCAGGTACGTCATATCGGACGTTAATTAAATGCCAGTCAATATATCCCAAGATTAAAAAAAAATGTGTCAATCACACTAATATGTGCCGTTCGGAAGGCACACTTTATAGAAACTTCTCGAGCGAAATTGCCAACACGAAATTGCTCGTTGTAGTGTGAAAGAAGAGACCATCTTCCGAGGCTAACGAGAATTCCTCAATTTTGCCGGTTCCTCTTGCCCTTGCGTCTTGCTTCTTTGTCCTAACTAATCGCCGGTTATCCATCACAACTCGAATCGTTCTTCTTCTTTTCCTAACTTTTTTCAACCCCGCACGCTCCCTAACTTTTTTCTCATCGGCACGCTCGCGCCCCATTCGCAGGTTTTCACGCGAACTTTCTTACGCAGGCGAAGAACGTGGTAAAAAGGTAAGTTAATTGCAAATCGAGTCAAAATGATCACTTCCAGTTTGTACTTTGTGCAAACAATAGATCAAATAATAACCTGCGCTGAATAAATATTTGACGGCCGAACTACGTTGATAACACACTTCACATTGATCAATAGTTTTTTTTTTTTTACGTTGCTGCATCGAATTGAATATTTCAGTCTCGTGCAAACAATTCGCAAACTCGCTGCTACGGACGTGGAGGATACTAGGAACTTTATCATAATGTATTGCCTATAAATGTTTAAGAAAAGTTTCAGAATATATATGTATATACGCGTACGTGATATTCTTATTCGTATCGGGAACGGAAAGGAGAAATATTATAAAAGTAATTCAGAAATACAGTGTTTAATGATAGCTTTTGAGAGTGCGCTGTGTGTCAACGTAATTTCACGAATATCACTTATTCATCTCGCATCGACGCCACGAAGCGACATTCATCATCCGTACATTGGATCTGCATAAATCATTGTATGCAGGAGCTTCCATAATGAGGCCTGTCCTTTTCGCGAAATCGCGCTTCAAGTTGAAAAGAAGGACGAAGAATGCAATGAGACAATGACTTCGTTAAAGTGCGCTAATTGCAGACAGAAATATACTCGGTTTTCTCCCGGAGGGAGAAAAGTTTCCGCGTGAAACTACATGCTGCGGAGACGTCTTGCGGAAAATTGCTCTCGTACTTGACGTTCCTATTTTTGTGAGAAACTGGCGGAAAAAAAGGAGACCGTTCGAGCGAGCATTTTGTGACGAGTACGAGGCGATTCGAAGGGCGCTCCAGCAGAGCGGCGAATATTGAGAGATGATGGCGCAATTAATAATTTTATAATGCAATTTTATTTTAATATTCTCGCAGACTATCAAAGTTAAAGGTAATGGCAATTACATAAAAAATATAAATGAGAAAGGTAAAAGATTAAAAAAAAAAAATTACGATTATAAAAGTTATAACAATAATTTTGCTGACAATCCCGCCTGACTCTGGCGACGATCGCGTCGGAGCTGTGTCCTACATGACTACTAGTTCGCGCTTTTAAAGGCTACTTGACAGCTAGAGCGGCAAACGTTTGCTTGGCAAATATTTCACAGCGGAAATTTTTAGCATTTCCTTTTTGCGTTCTGTACGCGACAGACGTGACCGCACGGAACAAAAGCGTGTGCTTTTATGGCAATACCGTCCTGGACATATTGTCGCAACGTCATGTATCCTACGGGGATAATACAAGTTCGCCAAGTTATTTGATAAAACTGATCTCGTTTTACGTTTTGTTTTCACGGCCGATTACGTCAAATCACTCCTGTTTTAACGTGACTTTTTTATTCGCGTGAAACCAAAATATAGATTTGTAGTATTCTGCTCTGACAAATTTCGAAAATTCGTAAAGAATCGTTAATGGAGGAAAAGAGGAAGAAAGAGAGAACGATAGAGAGAAAGAGGGATAAAAGTCACCGAAGAATCGGAAATTTAAACTGGCCATCTTGTCGAACGGATCCAATTAAGAATTCGAATCGCACCGCTATAACTGTTTCATTTAATCGAAATACGATCGCTGAGGATTTCTCGCAGCGAGGCGTCATCGTAGTTTTTCCACGACGTTACCCCACGTATCGCAATTGTTGTTCGATAGTCGTCGTTCCTTTCGCGCTCAACGACGGTTAACGCAAAATTCCGCAGGAGACAAAGCTCGCTTCCTTTTACAGGGGCTACTTCCTCTCCGGCTTCGCTATTCTTTGCGGAGGAACGTCTTTATTTATGCCGGATTGCGTATCGCTGCAAGTGGAAACTTGACCGAGAAAGGTTTTGAATCGCGCCGAGCAAGCGAGACTTTAATCGAAAAACTTCCCCCATAGCAATTTGTCGCTTTCGTTACCCCCGGCCGACTGAACACTGGCAGGCGATCGCTCGTTTATCCGCGATGTCGAGCGTCCACCCGGCGTCTGCATCGAACTTTGTGAGATGGTTCTTACAATTAATTCAATACGGAAATAAAAGTAGAAGGGAGTTGTCTGAAGAATCTTAGGATCGGTTAGAAAAATCACCGGGTCCAACGTAAAGTTAAACGTGGATATTTATATCTTTAAACGGAAGCCGAGCCTTTATCATGATTATTGTACTCTAAGTAATCTTTGTCTTAACTCCACAGTGGTTTTAGAGGGTTTTTACCGCCAATGCGACGTTATTAATTATTGCGTTCGAGAATAAAGTCAAGCTGCGCTTTCCAGCTTAAGTAATAGGATTAATGTCACCGATAAAAATTTCGCTGTTTGTATGACTCGCTAATTTTAATGCTATGATAAATGGCAATTGACAAAGTTGCGGAAAGCGCAATAATTACGGGATCGGGAGAATCGTATTAAATTAAATACGATTGTTTATATGTAAAAGGAATCCATATATTTTATTTATTATAATCTCTTTAAACTTATATCTTTGCTTGTTGCTTGTCGACAGGTTTAATATAAGCAAGCATGAAATCTGAATTTTTTTTTAGATATTCAAATGCGTGAATAATCAGAGATTTAGTTATTTTTTTTTCGCGATATTTGGAAATTGGTAATACGTAATGCCGTATAACGTAGCCGGCAAACGATGATTAATCGCGCGGGACATTACTTTGATCGATGAATTGATGCGGCTGTTAACCCTATATAAGCGATTAGTTATTTCTTTATCCGCGGCGCAATCAGCCGAAACGCATTGGTACTGTATAATACTGGCAATTTATCATTTAACACGATGTCGACATAGCAAATGATCTTTTTGCCGATGCGGTATGCGACATATTCGTTATCTAAAATGAGTTCAATAATCAATCTGTTAGTGTTCTCGTGTGTGATCATAGGAGGAAATCGTGCAGAATGAAAATTACATGCTTATCAAATTTCAATTACATCTTATTTTATATTTATATGCGTGTTAAATCCTACGATTGAATAATATAAAAAAATTAAAATTTTTGTGAAATAAAATAATATTTTTTTCACAATCGTTTATAATTTAATCAACAAATTGAAATAATAATGAATGTAGTTTAGAGGCAATATTTTAGGCATATATGTAAAAAAAATGTTTTTTCAAAAATAATAATACAAGTTATTTATCCTAAAAAGAAAAATTATTAATTTTTCAAAAGTCAAAAAGTTTTATTTTTGTAACAAAATTTTTTATTTTTAGAAAAAAAATTTTAAAAATTCAAATAGGCTTTTATATAGCATTTTTTATCTTTGATAAAGTGAAAAACATGTATCATCATAAAACTTAAACAATATATTTGAATTTTAAAATCACGGCAAGTATTGTTCAGAGAGAATCATTTTACTTCTGGCAAATTTAAAAATTTAGCCAGATACAGATCTGAAAATAATTTCGTTATGTTATCAAAATTATTATGTAGAACGCTTAAACATGATAATACTACTACTAATAATACTACAAAAATCTTCTAGCAAACCAATTTGAATATAGTATATAATAATTTTGAAGACCCAACAAAATTATTTTCAGATCTGTATCTGGTCAAATTTTTAGATTTGTTAGCAAAAGTGCTCTTTCCGTACTCCCATTGTCTGTCATAGTCATCTTCTCATTCACAGTCTCTTCTTTTAACTTTTGTATTGCGTGTAAAAGAATCAGCGGACGCTTGATGGATCACCGTACAAACAAACTGAAAGCACGAGAGAGCTAATATGTTCTGATGGGCAATATGTTCTTTATCACGATACAGATTGGGTTAAACCTACATTGCGAATAAATTAAGATAGATCGTAAACATAACATTGATTCGACGGTGCGGAAAATTCGATTTAACGCCGGTCAACTACGGCCACGCTTTGTGCATTACTATCGTCGTCGTAACGGGAGGTTTAATTACAAATCCGAAAATTTAATGTAATTTGACACTGCATAAAATGCTATTTTCCACCGTGCAGCTCCTCTTCCATTTCATGATCAAGAGTCATATTCGTCAAGAGTCCTAGCGTAATTAAATAAATTAACGCGATGTTAAGCGCTGTAAATTCATTGTCACATTACTCTCAGGATACCGTTTGCCAATAATCGATTAATCATTGAGTCTGAACATTGTTACATTGCTACTTTAGCAACGTTCAAAAATAAACGTATTCCTTGTAAGAAAATATCAACAAGTCAAATATAGAAAATTTTTATACCATTTAAAAAAAATGCAGTATTTCAACATTTATATTTAGATCTCAACAATTCAGAAACAAATATAGATATTATTCAAAAGGAATGACAATTCTAGAAAATCTGCATTGTACTGGGAGAACAAGATAATTTAGTTTTCTTTGCCATAGATGGAAAATTATTTTATCAAAGGGGTCAAAAAAAGCCTATAAGAGCCAACGCAGTTGTTAATGCATAATTGTCTACAACTAATTTATGCTGATTTATAATAGGAAATTGTGTTTTCAACTTGGCATACTTAGTATTTTTTATTTATGGTTCTAATATTTTTATTTTTAAATATATTTTGAAATATACATGTTCCAGAATATCACATGTCATTGTCAATGATAAATAAATGTACAATATTAGAATTTTTCCTTCCGTTGAAAATACCGTTTCTTCGCGTTTCTAACAAAAATTTCTTTCAGGATATCGCAACGTTATCCATTTTTTTTGTATCATTATACCGGAGTTGATAGCGGAATATCTGAAAACGCGCGTTCATCAGTAACGCATCGTTAAATTGGGAGGGAGAAAACCGGGTGTGGATGCTGAGTGATTAATTAAACAAAAGGTTAAATTAAGCGAGATAGCAATAATTCTCACTCGTCTGCCGTTGCAGACGCTGTCGCATTGGGAAAACAACTGCTATGGCACTGCAGGTCCATGTTTACGGTTTGTGGTTCACGGAGAGTTCCGTGTGGAGAAGAGAATAAAAGAGAAGGAAAAAGGAAATAATATTTAAACACAATCGACTGAGACGTATTCATGTCGAAGTCATCAAAAGATATTGAGATAATAAAAAAAAGAATATCATAATTACGAGAAAATTCACAATCGGTACAGACGATTGACAGAAAGATTTAAATTCATAGAGAGAGATAGAGAGAGAAACAATTTTAACTCTCTAGAATTTACATCTCTCTACTATTTAAAAAGGCGCTAATTAATATTTTAATGCGTCGCAGACGGCAAAATATTTAGCGTCGGCATCATACAGTCGCCGGGCAGATCGCAGAGGGACGCTATTCCGTTTCTCGCAACGGGATCCACGACCTCGTGTATGTACAGAAGCGCGCAACGCAAACTAATTTCATTTACTGTCCCGCCGTGTCTCGCCGGCACCTAACTTTACTGTCAGGGCGGACCCGTCGGCGGAAGCGTTGGTCTCAACCAAGAACCGGCCCCTCCCCCCCTCCCCCCGAACGTCGGAGCCTTTCTCACCGACACACCGCCATCCTAACTCTCGCGGCTGCTGTCATCAGCCACCGTTGTACTCCGCATGAGCACTCTACCGGCACGTATTTTCGGGTCCTTCGGGGATGTTTCCTGTATCTTGGCCCGGGAAATCGCGAGTAAAAAGGGATACTGTAAACGATGACAGTCTACACATCAGCACCGTCAGATATCAAAATATCCAACTTCCCGAGGAGGAGGAGCTTCATGAAAGTTTCATAAAGAGTGCAAGTTTTCAGCATTATCCGAAAAGCATACAGTTTCCCCGAAAGCTAACAGTTTTCGAAATACATGTAGTTTATAAAGGAAACTTCCGTGCTCCTTTCATCCGGAAATTTGAATATATATATATATATATAATATAAAATTTATTTTTTACGCATTAATATATATGATGTACACATTTTTGTGTTTTATAATATGATCCGTTGTTATAAAAGAGAATTCTGAAATTCGACTGTAGATTTTAATAGTAGTAAAGTTATAAATAAGTTATTAAAGACACGTAAGTACATTATTACAAATTCGTGTCTTTCCTGAACGTCAGATTTTCATTTCGTCTCGTTTTTTCAGATTGCAGCTGTGAGCATAATTCAACATGATAAATTACGTCATTTATCATACTTAACAAAGTGACGCTGGACGAGACAAGAAAAACGTGAATATGCGACAACGTATAAATGGGATAAAATTTCCCCCGAGTTTTTTTTTCGACTTTTCGTGAAAATTTCGAGCTCGAATGAAACGTGCGAAACGACCGGGATACGCTGCATAATGGAATGTTTTATATCCCATATTTCATATCTCATTGAACTGCGAACGTGGAATGAACTATATATTAACGAAGCTTAATACGATAGCGTGTCGCTCTTGTCTTTTTTTTATTTCCGCTTGAGTTTTATTCAGCGCGACAGTTGAACGAATCTCTTCGCTATTATCGCGGATAATGAATTCTTATGCTCCAGAATCGAATTCTTTGAAATTCTACTGTTCCGGCCAAGTTGCCGGCAGGGAATCTATAATAATATATAATCGCAAGAAAGAGAGGGAGACGAAGAACGAGCGAACCGTATTTTTTAACGCTCCATGAAACGTTCCGGCGAGATGTACAAAGAGCCGAGAAATTATATACACGCGCGATCTAGATTTGACTTTTCCCGGTCGTTTCTATGGAAAGTTGACACAAAGTCTTTCAACCGCGCGTAAATGCCCGTCAAACAAGGAAAAGTTTCGTGAATTAATTACACTTTGCTCGCATAACCGCGTCAAGTTTGTCTGACATTTAGATTATGCATTTCTCATATTTGTCGAGAGGCATTTCGAACCAGAATGACTTCGTGCAAGCAAATTCAAATAATAGAGCTATTAAGCTTAAAAGCTTCTTCGCACCACGCAATTTTTAACACAAGCAAATGTAGTATCACACATATCACACGGAAAGGACGGTTTTGCTAAAGTACATAAAAACTTGGCCAGATACAGATTTGAAAATAATTTTGTTGGACAATCAAAATAATTATGCAGCTCGCATGTTAGTTGCTAAAATATTAAAATTTTTTGCAGTATTATCATCATACTTAAACATTTAAACGATATAATTATTTTGATAGCTCTAAAATTATTTTCATATCTATATCTAGCAAAATTTTTAGATATTTTAATGAAAATTCTTTCCGTGTACAATATCGCTTTAAATTGTGTCCACGTTTTACTTTAAATTCTTATATTCCTTATCATTAAAAAAAAAATAATATATATATATATATGTATATATGTTTAATATATGTGTAATATACTATAATGTGTATTATTACACATGTTCTAACGTGATAAATAAAAGGCAGCTAAAGAATGATAATAAAACATAGAAGTTAAGAGCAGATAAATAAAGAGCAGATTAAGTCAGAAGTATCTTCATCCCTCTGGCTGACATGAGGCAGCAAGAATGCAATATTTAAGGATTACCTGATACCGCCTCTCGTCGTATCGTAGTTCAAGACTCTGTTGCCATGGAGCCACTGGACGACGCTGTATTGCACCTGCATCGCTATATGACGCACGACGCACAATAGTTCAATGGTGCTATCAGCTTCATAGTATTTGTCCCGCAGTGGTTCGCCCAAGGCGTCCACTATTTGGACGGACGGTGCTAAAGAATTCAGAAAGAAAAAAAACTATTAGCAAGATATTTTTATTTTATTTATTTATCTTATTTAATGTTTCAATCAACATTTATGATTATTTATGATTTATTTTATTTTTCCAGCAACAATTAATCAAGATATCGCAAAGATAATTTTAGTTTTAATATCTTATACTCGGAAAAAAGATAAAATAGTATATTCTTCACTTCTAATGATACTTTGTTCACGTAGGAAATATTTGGCTACATTGTAAAATAATAACTTTGATCAACAAGAAAAAGATTGGGCATGTTGCAGTCAGTTTGTAGCTTTCTAAGCGCATCATCTACTTAAAGTTTCTAGCCTCTTACAAGAAGTTTTGGAATCACCGTATTCGAGTAAAAGTACACTCACTACATTTGGTTTAAATATTGCAAGATATTGCAGCTCGCGCGAAAGTTTTGTACATGATACAAATTATCTATAAAGCGTATCGTCACACTTTTGTAGACACTTTTGAAAGTTTCATTTCATCTTTCATTTCAAAATCATATTTCAATCCGTTAACTTCTGATATCCATTTTTTCTTTCTTCCTTCTTTTTGTTCTTACTTTGCTTTCTCTTATTTCATTTATGCTACATAATTTGTTCTATTGTTACATATTCACAATTTACATGTTTACAAGTTTTCAAATTTACGTTCTCTTATTACTTAGTGTCACAAAATTAATGAGTAATTAACTAAATCAAAATTATAAATTACTTTTATAATACAATCTGAATTTTTTTGCGATGGATATTTTTATAAGTGTTCAAACTTACGTTCTCTTATTACTTGACGCCAAAAGATTAATCGGCAATTAATCGACTATCAAAATTAGCGAGTTACTTTTATAATGCGACCTGAATTTTTTTTGCAATGCGCTTTTGCAATCGTAATCGTTGTCACAGATGTAATTCTATCTTACGGTGATTACTTGAGAGTTTCTTACGCCAACACAATCTATTTGCCGAATATGTCGAGCTCGCTGTGGCAATTGCGCGTCATGAAATTTGACCATACACACGAGCGTGATATTGGATTATATCGAATTCAGCTTCAAATATTTAACTTTATGGCCCGATAAATATCTCTCATATTGACGTCATTGGGTTGTCCGCACGATCGAGTACCAAACGCGATCGAGCAAACCGATTCATTCGCGTATCTCTCCATCGTCATCTTCCATTCCGGCTGGACCGTTTCCAAACTGGTGCCGGTATTCCTATCCGCATAAGTTACGCCACGAATGCTAAGCAACGGCTACCGAAAGAAATCACGAAAAGGAGAAACGTTTTGGAGATGAGAGCGTTCTCTCGTCGACCTCATGAATATCGCGCAAAATGTAATCTCTCTCTGGCGCTCGCCCTTTTCTCTTTCGCTCGGCTCTCCTTTTTCTTTTTTACGTTCCCCATCTGAGGTATGCCGCATTTTATTTCGCACGTTTTTTCGCGATACAAAATTTTTCCCATCCAATTTCTCACCACCGTGTCCAGAAATATGTTTTCGTTTCTTTTCCTCCACTTTCTTCCTTACCCGATAATTTCGTGTTAACGCTTGCAAATTCCGAGGTACTATACGTTTTTTGCAGTTACTACGGATAATAGGAACTCCGAGCTAATATCAGAAGAACATTTATCCATAATATTGTACGAAATGAATGTTTAATCATAAATTAAACGAGATTTATAGTAAAATGAAATTATGCTCGGCGGGATACTAAAATCTTTGCTCACATTTCATTTTCGTCCGCGAAATGCGTGAGGGATAAAACTTTAACAAAGAACTTAAAACTTTCTCGCTGCTACGTTTGAATTTATAAAACACGTCCGGTTCTTGAATTCTTCAAGAGTCAAAAAGCAAATTAGAGATCGTACCATATCCGTGGGAGCTTCCTTTCGTGTCTCCTTTCATTAAAATCGTAAAAAAAGGAATACGCGTTGACTAAATTGTTAAAGAGAGGGAGACGAAAAGAAAAAAGGATCGGCGGAAGGTGTATAGGAAGAGAGAGAGACGGTAGATAAAGGTCAAGCAGTAGTACTGCATACCAAAATCGCTACTTTATCAGCTTCCTTGTGGATTAAGTGTTGATCCTTCCCTTTACGTGCGTCGGTTCCGACACAGCAACGATCCTAGCGTTCCTTCCTCAAATATGATCCAGCGACAATGTTCAAAATTGCACGAGATCCACTTTACATCCTTTTTTCTTTACATCCTTTTTTCTTTTATGTAGCGATTTGTGTTTCACATAGTTGATTACACCGATCGTATCTCCGATGTGGCAAATCATTCTCACGTTTTATAACGCCATTAAATATGCGGGAAATTAATTTTTTGGCGTTTATAAATTGTCTCTCATTTTAATTTAACATAATTACAAATTTATAATAAATAGATTTAAATATTCAAAAGGCCGACTGATTTATTCATATCGATTATGCCTATCTGTATACATAACTCATTATTTTCATCCCGATCAAAAATTTGCGTTGATAATCGATCGGAGTGTACGACAATAGTCAGGGCAGGGTGTATTCATATCTCCTACGTTAATTACCGTACGATGCGAGATTCATCGATAAAACGCGGTTGCAAGATTCGTACAATGGACAATTGTTTACCGTAATTTGACTTTCAAAGTTGAACAGATATAGAAAGAGAATAGGTTGCCGGGGCCAATGAGAATGTGCGGTTTGGCGATATATCGTTCTTTCAATGGCATTTGACGTTTCAAACCGCGTTACAAACGATCTCATGGAAGCTCGCGCACAAAGGTATCAACAGTGTGAAACGATTAAATTTTAATTGTATCGAATAAACGAATATCGAGTGATATATCTCGATAATAGGAAGTGCGAAATAAATGGCTAGCGTCTCTCCGCATTGCCGATACCATCCGAAATAGAAAGATAAAATAATAATTATTTACGCAAAGTTATTTATAAATACACGCGGCAGATTCTCCATGGCGATCGACGAACGTTGTGCACACCGCAAGAATTATTTTGACAAATTACGGAAATTACGGAGGAATAGGCACGGATAAAGTGCGAGCGACTTTAAGTAGATAATCCCTTTGAACTCGCGTTTGAAGATTCCCGGCTATAACACGAAGAAGTTACGCCGACTTATCCCATAAAAGCAAAAGCTTACGATATAATCTCACATCGGTAAAGGCGTACGGAGCGGGAAATAAGTAAAAGAGAAAACTCTTGCCCCTTTTCATCGTGACCCAGCAATTCTACGCGATTTTACGAAAGCTAAATCGGTAGGATGTCGCATCTCTACTTTGATTTTCCTAGAATTCCTTTATCTCTCGTGTTATCTTTTTGTGTCATTACGCATTCTAAGAAAAAAAAAAAAAAAAAATAAGAGAGAGAACAATCGTACTTATTGCGTATTACTTCGGTGTCACATGTACAAATTCGTGCCGGTTACTTTTATGCTTTCTCGAGTTACGATTTCGCGATTTTTTAATAAACGTACCCACCATCCATCTTTATTTTCATCTCCTGATGCTGGATGCTTGTGTTTTTACGGCTTATTGTCCACTCTTAACCTCCAGAATTACGCAATTTCTTCCCTCACGTTTATTAAAATCTTCCTACCGTTTTACAATTTTCCGTTGTCCATTCCTCGTTTCCAGCTCCGTAGCTGCCACTTCATTCTTATATACCCTCATTTCGCCGAATGGCTCGACACACCTCGATTCCCGGACTACAACGAGATGAAGTTCTTCCGCTTTGCACCGCGCCGTTCCTTCCGAACTGAAGAGACTGTGTGGATTTTCTCCTGCCTCTATCCCCGTCCATCTCAACTACAAGGCACTTCGTTTTCAATTATCCTTTTAAGCGATCTCCACCGCAAGAACATTGCGGACGGAGGCAATTTGTCCGATCGCCAGCAGAATTGTAAAATTTGAGTCTCTTCTTCCCGTCTACTTTCTGTCTCGCTAGAATATTCAATCGTAAGATATTACCGGAGATATATCGCCACTCTTTCTTTGCACTTTTAATTCAAAGTAATGTGATGTGGCATCGAGGGAAAATACGAATTTAAAAAAAGTTTCTTAATTCTTATTTGCTTTTAGTGCCGTTTCAATTTTTGCATTAATTCACTGTCCTTTTTCAAAGCGTGCAAGCAATTTTATTCCGTTACTTCTCGTTTTAAGATATATAGTTTTCATCAAATAGCCTTTCCATCGGAAGACAAGGTCTTACGGTACAATCAACCCAATTATTTAATCTCTCCTTTATATTCTTGCTCCGCTCGTTGTAATGCTACATTAAATTCGTCTCAAACTTGGACACGACGCGGGTGGAATAAAAAGGCGTTAAACGGAGGAAAACGACATGTAAGCTTAAAAAAGTAAATAGCGGAGAAGTTTTCGTTCTTTGTTCCGCTTCTTTCAAAAGGATAAAACAATCGCGTCGAATTGCTCAAAAAGAGTTCATTCAGAAAAATTCATGATGGTATTTTATACGTGGAATTTAAATCCGCGGCGTGCAAAGGGCACATTAAATTTACCCAAAGAGAAACGTGTGAGTCGGAAACGTGCGGGAAATCTTTCTTTCTCGCGAAGTTCTACGTTTCGGTGCCGCGTTAGTGTCGTCACCACCGTTGCTGTCCGGACGTTGACGTTAGGCAGACCATCAGTTCACGTTGTCACTTACCGTTAATGTGTAGGTTGACATGAATGAACTTTGGTGGATGGGTGCTGATCTGACACTCGTATTGGCCCTCGTCGCTGCTGTTCACACGCTTGATACGCAGACGCCAGTTGTCCGGGTACTGGAATTCGATGGTGTATCTCGAATCGCCCGTGTATGTGTGCTGGCCGACTGTCAACAGACTCATCTTCTCGCTACTCTCCTGCCGTCGCAGCCAGGACACCTGCGTATGCAAAACGATCCCCTTAAAAGAAACGCGGTTGCATTTGAAAATTTTCATAAGACAATTGGCCACAGCTTGTGGCTTTCATCGTCGTCTATCATTTATTTATTATTAACGATCGCACGTAAATAATGACATTTTTCGATATCGTTTTGTATTGGCGGCCATACATGGGAAGATGGATTTGGATACTTTTTCGATTTAAACGTCTAGCCGACACGTCAGTCAACATCAAGGACAGCGCGTATAAATATCAACAGGTGCACAGACAATCGTTTATGTACGGATTTTTCCGATTGTATCGACACGTGTGTCTATCTTACGATACACACGTTTTATATATGCGAGTATATGCGAGTATTTGCACCGTTCCGCTATCGTTTCTGTAGAAGAAGATGATACTTCTGGTAATGTGTGTTTTACTTTCTTGACACTGATTAATGCTTCTCTTGTAATGTTGCGACAATTGAAAAACATTAAATAGAATTTCATCGATAAAAAGAAGTCAACGATTTTTCCTATAGAAATATTTTGATCAAATATTATTTCTTTAATAAGAAGAAACGTATAACATGTATTTTTCCGATATTAGATTAAATGTTATTTATCAATTTATTTTTTCCTATCTCAAAGAAGAATACTTACTGCTAAATTGAGTTATTTGTATAAATATATAGTAGAAAATATAAATTTATGATAAATTGGATAATTAATTAGGATTTGTATAAGTTTGTGTTAAAATCAGATTAAGATATAGCGAATATAAAGTTAAGGTAATATAAGGTAATTTACTAGTATAAGTGAAATTGAATAGCATGTTGCCGAGTATCCTTAAATATAATATATGATGTCATATATCTTTTACATGAATCTAAGAGTTAATCAGGTTATCGGTACTTTTTTATGCGCATTTATGATATGGAATCATGTAAGATGCATGTTATCATCAACTTTTATCTTTCGTTTTTCTTGGTGCAAAGGTATATTTTTAACTTTATCTAAATGTGCAAAAAATATAACTTATCACATCTAAAAAAATTATATTATATGTAACTTAATATTATAATATGTTATTCCAAAGTTATATGTAATTTAATATTATATTTATCCATTAAGAGAAAAAAAATTGCAAAATTAAGAAAATAAAAAATTAAAAATATCACTCAATCAATTAAAAGAATCACTTTTTAAAATGAAAGGCTATTTATCAATGAAAAATGTAGGCTTTTACGTCTTATTAGTTGGAATTTTCAGATCTTATATTATTAATGAAGTAAGAAGCAATTTAATAAAAATTAAATCATTTTTATAAAATGATTTCGATAAAAATGTAATAACGTAAAATGTGTATATACAAATATTTAATTTTATACAATTTGCGAATTCGCGATATTGATTAGTTATATTATAAATTGCTGCTAGGTAATGGGATATTATCTGTTCAAGCACCAGAGAGATTCATGCGCATACAACCGATATCTGACCGCATAATTTGTTCTATAGTTTGGGGCGTGGATAATGTAGGAACGGTTTGTAACTCTATTACAGCAATAAATGCAATCTAAATGAACATAGCAGTAGTTGAGAATAAAGTATCGCAGCGGTAGTTTTGCAGCAAATTAAACGTCGTCGTTCTTCCTTTACATATTATATGAAATTTTTCAACATACAAAGATCAAGATTAACATATAATTGAGCAATTAATATTCGTGTTTTTTATTTACAAAAATTTTATACCTACCAATAATAAGATTTTACGTTTAATAAAATACGACTACGCCGTAACGAGTAAGTCACCGTAAAAATGGAGAAAACTTTATACGAACTTTAACGAACTCGGGTATACTGCTGAATTATTATGTGTAGATTACGCGTGCGAATAACCGGGTCGCCGGCTTGCGATTACGTGAATTTCTCCTTAAATTCGTTCCTTGAAGTATAAAACGTACGAACGCGCTCGCTCGCTGCGCGCGCGCCGCAGCAGATTAATCATAATAAGCTAAACGTAGCTTACCCGTGGTATAATAAGGCAAAATATTCTGAGATTAGTCGTGAATTATTACGCAGTGCATTTGTAGCAGTGATTAAAAGCTGCGGGCGACCAGATACGAGGCACGGAGGGAAGGAGCGAACAGAATGACCGAGTATGCAGTTTCACGCTTACGGTTTTGTCCTGCAGCAACGATATCCTACAATCAAGCGTGACACTAGCACCAGCTTGCACCGTAATGTTGGAGCTCTCGCCTTCGAAGTGAGGACCCCATTTGTGATCGTGATGATGCTGATGCTTATTCAGAGTGCTGTGCGTGTCAAAGATGTAGTTCAGCATTGGTGCATCCGTCGGCACGGATCGCTTCGCCGCCGTCGTCGATTTCGTCGAAATCGAGTCCGTCGCCAGAGGCAGTTCTACAAGAGAGTGAGAAAGTAAAAAAAAATGTATAATGCCATTAGTATAAGGAAACTTGTCATTCTTTAAAATGTTTAATTATATCTCAGAATGTTGTGTTTGCGATAAATAAAATGCCGCATACGCTTTATTTCCGCGTTTAAACTCGAGATAACCGTTGCTCTTTGTTATGCGAATATGACAGCATAAATTAATGAAGATCTGTATTTCATATATGTATATAATAAATGCGAAACGAGCGTTGTCCGTATTGTATCATTTAGCATTTCGCGTATATTAAACACACACGGCGCGTCATCATTCGAATTGTCATAATTGTTTACGGCGTCACAACTCATATTTACGTGTATTTTCATATTATGTACACTCTGCCAATTCTCTCTCCCCCTCCCCCGCTTGCTTTTTTTGTATTCAACCCATCACTCCTGATCGTAACTCGTGACTTTATTTAATCGATTCGCTGCCATTTTCCCGTTATGGGCCATCGCTCAGGTTATCGACATTCAGCCAACCTGCCAATAACGGCCAATATTCGACGTAAATATGCATTTATGCCCGCAACAGACGCAGAGACATACGACATTCTCAAGCTGCTATTATCGCTACGTACATATGTTCTGAATTTTTTGATACATTGCTGAATAAGAAGTGTAGTTTCATTTCAATCTATATTAACACACTTCCAAATTTCGAAAGAAAAAAATAACGTAAAGATATTCTTCAGAAGATATTTTCAATTTCATTCTTATTTGAGTTAATATTAATATGTCATTATAATAATAGAAAACATAAAATTTATATTTTTATCTAATATATCTCTGCTTAACGCATTGCAAAATTTTCTTTAAATTGTCTAATGAAGAAATATTACATTGTTTTTTTTTTTATAACAAATTAAATTATTTTTTGTCGGCTGTCTTTTAAATCCTAATTTTTACATAACCAATTCTTAAAATTGTAAATTCTTTAAGAATTGCTTAAGAGTACGCAATTTTAGTTCTTATAACAATTCCCGTTTCTGTGTTACAACGACATAACAGATGATCCAAAACTTAACCAACAGCGTTCCGTTTATGGTTACCGTTTACAGTACTTCGCGCTATGCACTCTCTTTCAACTTTGATAATGATAATTTCCACAGTTACACTTCATGTTACCGACAAAGTTCGCGGTACAATCCGACATTGGGTCGGATACGTTGAATATCTTCATGGATATTTCGTCGCAAAGCGGAAGGAGAAAAGGCGTGCGGGAGAATGAGAAAGCCGAGAATGAAAGGGAACGAGAATCTCGGGGCAACGCGCGAAACGATGAAGAAAGTCACGTTGCTCGTCCGAGAATCACCAAGCTAGATACTAACTTGCGATGACAAATTTTTCCGAGTTTATACCATGGAAGAAGCACTTCTGCGATGTTCAGACACATGAAGGTAATAAAACGAGAAGGTATTTTCTACTATAAAAAGTTACGGTGGAAGTTCCACGCAGGTGGCCTCGTCGATTATTTCGCGTTCTCTCTCTGCGCTCTTTGATAATTACATTATGATTTTTTAAAAATATTTTTTATATAAAAGTTCCTAACTCTTTATCTTAATATACGATTGAAAGATAATGTATTGGAGTTCTTCCAATACAGATTATCAGCAATCTTTTCATGCGCATATTTACTCACAGAGCGTTAAATCTGGATACGCGTGTTTTAAAAGTCGTTGGAACTTCAACAGCATTGTAAATATAACAAAGTATCGAAAAATTTGACCGAATATAGACTTCCCTTTCATAAGTCCCGTCACGTAACGCCAACAGAAGTTCCATTTGAGAGCGCCACGGAGAGCGCCGCTGCAGTCGATTGTTCTACGACCGAAGACGAATTGGAGCACTTGTGCAGGTAATCCTGACTTTCATCGAGTCAGCGATAGGTGAGCACGGGAGTTTCCCCGGACCTCGAGCAATTCCGACAATCTTCGGGAGATTCGACACAGAATTCACGGGGTTGCGACAGAGGGGAAGAAAGGAATATACGACCGTACGATCCCGCGACGAAGTCGCACGTCAAAAGGGATCAGTATGCCGCGGAGCGCGAAATTTTCTTTTCCGCGCGCGACTCTTCGCCGTCATCTCTCTGAAGACTACCTTATTCCTTTCTCTTCCCCTCGCGCATTTCGATCTCTTCGCCGTTTGGCTTCGCTCGTCGGTCGTCTCTTCTTTCCCGCTTGCACCGGCGCGTCAATTCCGTTTTCTCGATCGCGAAAATTTTCCTCCGCCTGAGGGAAGAAAAACTGATCGGGAATTCCGGTGGAACTGTTGGAAGCGTGTCTCGGATACCGAGAAGAATCTATGTAGTCAGTCATCACTCTCTCTCTCTCTCTCTCAGTCTAAAAAACGACGTACAACGAAAGAATTGAAAGC